CCCATTCTGTAGGATGAGTTTTCCCTTTCCTAATCAAGGAACCCATTTGAAAAGGGGTGAGTAAAATTTTTCTGCAATGAACCAGACAGTAAATATTTTGGCCTTGGGAAGGTGTCTGGTACAGGCATAACTCTGTTATTGGTTATATGGACTGAAGCAGCCAAAGACAATTAGTAAATGAATGCCTGTGACCATGTTCTAGTGAAACTTTACCTAAGGACACCAACATTTGAATTTCACTTACTTTTCACATGATGAAATAATCATCATCATTTGAGTTTTCATTTCAACTATGCAAAAATAGTTTCTTTACTTTTGCATATTTTCAAATTGTTCATAAGAAAGGGTTTGGGGTGGGGGGGGGGTGGGCGCGCGGGAATATAAGGGAAACCCTACCCAAACAGAAATATCTCCTTGAGGGAGTTTTATGCTTACAATGTGGTTATTTTAACAACACTTCAAACAAGCTCCTGTTTGTTTTCACTTACCTATGAACAACTTTTCCTCCAAGAAAAAGGTTTTACATTGCTACATTGAGTCATTCTGTAATAACTGATGCTCCCATCTCCTCAATCAGTTGTTTGGGGTTTGGTTAACCTAGCTGCCTGTAGGTGTCAAACAACCTCTTTTCCAACTCACCCTAACTTTAATTATGTCTTTAATATGACAGGGAAGTCACCTGTCATCGAGTGTGGCTATCACCCTGGGCTGCCATTCTATTCCCTTGCCTAAATATCAGAGATAAAAGAGGTGGTGTCCTGTCTGCACCCTTTCTGAAAAGTGTAAATGGAGTGCTAAACTCAGGGCAGAGCAGTAGGGAAGTGCTGAAAGACAGCCTCGAGTCTCCACTAGAGCCAGAAAAGACACCTCCCTACAGAATAGGTATCTTTTATAAAGAGTCACAACACAATGGAAAATTGGTCATTTGAACCCTTCATCCTTGAATGATTCAGTTCTATCTTCCCAATAGCCTGCCTGGCTCATTCATTTTGGGTGCAGATATTTACAGAGCACAAGTGGTACTCAGCAGGAGTTGAAGCTCTCTCCATAAAGATCCTGTCCTCTGGAAGCTACCATCACATAATACATATTTTCTTTTTTTCCCCAAAGATTTATTTATTTATGCACATAAAAACTGAGGTATAGGCCAGAGGTGTGGGGGGTGAGAGGATTCACCAGAGATAGAGTGGGGAGCAGAACAGGCAGATTGAAATCCACTGCTGAGGGGAGCAGCGGGGGAGCCAGGAGAAGTCTGCTATGCCACATGGGTAGCTACCCAGCCAGGGATCGAACCCGTGCTACAGTGGCTGCAGACAGCCCCATAGGTTGGGTCTTAACCCCTTGCGCCACCAGGGAGGCCCTGATACATATTTTCAAATGATGACAGGTAGAGTGCTTCTAGGAAAGAAAAGTTTAGGGATAGCTTTAGTTAGGGATAGCTTCCCAAAGAAAAGGTCAGTTGTCCAAGTCCACCATTGAGTACCACAATGACATAAAAATATTTTTTGATTTGCTGTGACAACAGAATATTTAAAACTTCCCTATAGATTCAGGTACTAATATGGAAACCTTAATTATTCACACCATTTAATGTCATCTAAGCATAATTTTGTTAACTCTAGAATTTCACAAATCATCTGTGGGGGAAAAGGTAATTTATCTTCTCAGTTTAGTCACTGAAGTCAAAATGTATTAATCTTTCTCTATCAAAGTCAACTCTACTCTCCACTAGTATTACAACTATTAGTAATAAAACAAGGTAATACAAACAGGAGGGGGCAGACAAAAAAATAGGCTAACCTTGATAAACAAAATTTTATCCTAATATTGACCTAACTGTAACAATGGGAAGAAGATGGATGATACATTAACAAAGCCACAAATAGTTTTACTTCCATATTAAATTAATAGTTCCAAACACTCTCCCAGCATTAACCAACCCTTGGTAAGTTTGCCAGTAGGCAAATGACCAAAATAAGCTACGGGAGGAAAATTAGAAAAGATAAAAAAGAAAGACCTTAGTACAGCAGTTCTGAATTTTTGGAAGTGGAGCTGTGTGAAGGAGTCTTGTAGCATCCAAGAAAAGGTGTGGATACTTGCCCTAAAAAAGTGAACCTTTATACCATGTGCATAAAATTTCAGGGGAACTATGATGCCCTAAGGCCCACTCAAGGGTCAAAAACCCTTGACCTCATAAATAGAAAATTAGGAAATCAGGTCTCAGATTTTTTTTTTTTTTTTTTAAAGATTTATTTATTTATTTACACAAGCACTGGGTACAGTCAGAAGCGCGGGAGGGTGAGAGAATTCACCAGAGCCAGAGCAGGGAGCAGAGCAGGCAGAAGGACCGAAGTACACTGCTGAGGGGAGCAGCGGGCGGCAGGAGAGGTCTGCGCGCCATGTGGGACCCTCCTCTGGTGGCCGGGGAGCAGCCGGGGATCGAACCGTCGCTGCAGAGGTTGCGGGCAGCTTCGCAACCCAGCGCTCAACCGCTGCGCCACCAGGGAGGCCCCAGGTCTCAGATTATTAACAGTTGAAAAGGTTGAAAGAAACCAGTATGTACTGAATCATTTACCATTTGTTATCTAATTTAACTTCAACCGCTGTAACACCTTGGGAAATAGTTTTACTTGTAAACTACTAGTAAACACGTACTTTCACAGAGGAAAAACTAACTTCCAAGAGGTAAAATAACTAATGCAAAGTTAAGCAACCTTCTCTCACACGCAGGTTTCTAACCCAGCTCCACAATCATGAACTGGAGAATGCAAGAAGACGGGTTCATATCACTAGACATCTTCAGATGTGGGGAGCTTCTGATTTTAGTACTTCACCTCATCAATTTACCTCCATGTTTCTTCTCAATTTACCCTCACTTAGTATGAATTTTAGCTCCAAAATACCTTGTCTTGATAGGAGATAATCTTAATCAAGGGCAACAGACAAGTGTTTAATAATTTATTTTCATTTTCTTTCCTTAAGCATCCTATTACAAGCAGTTTGCTAGAAAAACATAAAGGTCCACTTCATGAGTGTTGCAAGTTCTCATGTTTAGATGTTTAAATGATCCCAGAAAATTCTAAATTAAAAATGAATCAAGAACAGACTGAATTAAATACTTCAGTCACTACTCCAAACAGACAGAGAGTTTCAGCCATCCTGGCAGCTTCAGTAACTTCTAAATGGTTAAAAGCACTTTTTGAAAAATGGTACTTCTAATAATCACTAATAATTTGTTATGTCAGATGTACACATAACCAAGTCTATGGCTCCTTTGTGCCTAAAGGACATAGTTAAGAGGTCTCAGATCTTCATGGTAAGACATGCTGATGAATATATCCCAGCAGAAAATAAAAAATACATTAGCAACTGTGTCCGGGTCACTAAATTTCAAACCATGTTGCCTAGTAAAACCCTAATAAACTTTCTATCCCCTCTATAAGGGAATTACCAATAAGTAGCTCCCTGCTTCACACAGATTTAGAAACCCTTTATGGGAAATGTATCTACACCCAGAGAAAGAAAACTAAGAACAAGAGCAGGTCAGGTCCTCTAAAGCTCTACTCCAACTGCTTCCTATGAGAGTTACCACCTAGTGATTTTAATTTTTTAAGCCCAGGCGGGCTGCCAACTCAACACTAAAACCGGACTAACAACTGATTTTTCCTATTGCAACATCGCCAGCAAGTCCTGTGCTTTTCCCTCTCTTTCTTTTGCTCTCTAACAGCAATTCTCATTTTCAAAATCAACAAATTTGCTCTAATCAGTTCCAATTGGAAGCTCTCATAAAGCTGCCACTGGTATTACTCTTCCTCCCGGTGTTAAAAGGCCAACAAGTGGTCAATTCAAAAAACCAAAATAGCAAATGTTAAAAAAAAAAAAAGGCACTAGAAACAAGAACTAAATGTGAAGAAAGATCAACTATGGGCCAACTCTAGATTTTAAAATGTTTCATTCACCAAAGTTCTACTTAAGCTTGGGCCCTGGACAATAACTATGCCAACATGAACAGCTACACCTGAGAAATAAAACTGAACAGAGGAGCATAAATTAAACATTCTGGATATCAAAACCTCACTCCAGGTCTTATCCTTGTTACCACTGAAAGAATAACTTGAACTGATCCTAAAGGTTACTGGACTCCAGCAGTCCTTTCTGACCATGGTGTGCCCAGGCCTGGAAGGTATCAGATAACAAAGGCTGATGACTGAAAATCTGAAGGAAAAGTCTGACAGTTTCTAGATACCTGATCTCACTTTTATTTGGAAGCACACCTTAAGCAACAGAATTTCCCTAGAGTGTCCTTCTACCACATAGTTTTATGAAAAACTGACCAATAATTAGATGCTGATTTCATTAAAGGCACTAAAGATTTGTTTCACCATATAAAATACTGGCCTTTCTCTCCCTCCCACTACCCCTCCCAATCTTGGCAGCTCACAATATATATATATATATATATATATATCTGAGCATAAATCTGACTGGCTCCTCACCTGTGATGACCCTTTTGTAACATCATCAACTTTGTAGTTTATATCTTAGAAAAATGTTAAGTGTCATTTTTATAAAGGTTCAAAATTCATTCTGATGGCCAGCAAATAATTTCTGGTGGTTAGGTTTCCTTGGCAGAGCCCCCTAAAACATTTGTGAATATGCTTTCAAAAGCATCCTTCCTCAACTCAAGTTTCTCCCTAAGAGGAATAAACTCGCTGCAGGTGCCCAGGGCTCATCACTGAGCAATGTCACTCACACCTCACCACACCGGGCCTCCACTGAAGGGTTCCTGGCTTCTCCCAATTGCGGAAAGCCCCAGAAAGCTAGGGTTTCCAAATGCCAGATCATTGCCCTTCCTCCTCCTCAGGCAGCATCCTCCCTGGAAGGTGTGAGGGGATGAGAGAGCAGTGGATATGGTGTGCTAAAGTTTCTGCGTCCTGTGAAGGCGGCAGGGAAACTTCCCTGGGTCTTGCAGAAACTTCATCGGGGGGGACTGGACTCACCTTCACGACAGAGTCCCATGACTTCGCGGTTTTTCCCAAACTCCTTGAAACTTTCGTCCAATTCCGTCCCTAGGAGACACACACACACACACACGAGGAGGGGAGAGGCAGGTCAGTGGCCGGGAGCGTGACGCAAGCTCGCGCACGCACGGAGTAGGTGCGGGCGCCTCTGCGCTCCCCAGCCAAGCGATAGCATCTCTGACCCCCGAGGGGGCGGGTCGCGGGAGGGGGAGGGGAAGCGGCGGGGGGCGGGGGGCGCGGGGGGCGTGGGGAAGCGGAGGGCGTGGACACTCACCGTCCTTTCCAGGAAGTTTGGAAGCCTCGACCCACAGATTCCACGACTGTCCCAGCATCGCTTCGGGACTGGGCAGGGGCCTGCGCTCCCCGACGGTCGCCATTGCGGCGGCGGCCGAGGTGGAAGCGGCGCCGGGGCCGCCGTCCTCGGGCCGGAGGCGCCGCGGCGCCGGCCGCTGGGGCTGCGGAGGCTGCTGTTGCTGCTGCTGCCGGGCGGCCGCGGCCGCTGCTCCGCCCGCCGCCGCCGCCGCTCGGCGCGGCTCCCCCCTGACGTCATCCGCGGCCCGCTCCGACATTCTTTCCGCTCCTACAATGTAACAAAAAAGGGGGAAAGAGTCGCGCGGGGGCCGCTTTTAAGGAGGCGCCGGGGAGTTCCGGCGGCGTGCGCGGCCCGCGGCCCGGGTGGGGCGCGTTGACAGCGCCCCCGGCCGCCCAGCCCCCTCCCCAGCCCGCCTCCTCCCGGCCGCCCCCGCGCGGGGCGCAAAGTCCGCGGCGGGCTCGCTTTCGCTTTCGACTCCGGCGGCGCCCGGGGGAGGGAGCCCGTCGCCGGCGGCCCGCCGCCGCGGCCCCCGCGCGCCTCGCCCCGAGACCCGGCGCGCAGGCGGCGCCCGGAGATGCCCCCGGCCCGGCCGCGCGCCCCGCCGCCGCGGGCCGCGGCGGGGAGGCCCGAGACGCACCCCCGGTTCGCGGGCTGCCCACCCTGACGCCGCTCGCATCCCCAGGCCGGGCCCGGCGGCCCCGCTCCTTCCTTCCGTCCGCGCGTCCGTCCCAGCCGCGGCGCCGGGCCGGCTCCCTTAAGCGGAGGCGCCTCCCGCCGCCTCCTCCCCCTCGCCGGTCCCTCCCTCTCAGCTCGCTCGGGCGAAGTTTGCACGTCAAGCCCCCGGAGTGGAGCCAGAGCGAAGTCGGAAACGCAGCCACCTATGGAGGAGCCGGGCCGCCGGCCTGCCCGCCCGCCCGAAGCACCACCGACGGCGGTCGCGGCCGGGCACTCCGCGCTGGGGTCCGGACGGGGCCAGGGGCTGATGAAGGGAACACTTTGCTCTCTGGAGGCCGCGCAGCTGTCAAAAGCATGAATGGGTAGAAGCCACTGAGCGGACGCCCAGCTAGTAGAAATCCCTGGCAGCCGAAGAAATGCGGCCCGGGTGTCAGTCCGAAGCTCAGGGTTCGCCCCGTGCCCACGACTGAAAAGTCAGAGCGCTCCCAGAGGACTTGAACTTGTTCAATAAATAGGAGACGTGAGGATAAGATGGAGTGGAGGAGAGATGTTTTGAAGACAGTAACCCAAATTTCTCCATTTCCCCTTCCATTTCTCCTGAAAGTGATTCGTTCACCCCGGGGAATAAAAATCAGTCTTGCCATTTAAAAATCGAATTCATTTAAGTTGAACTGTTAGTCTTTCCCTCTTTATGGTTATAGTCTTTTCTCGGGCAGGGCGGTAACCCAGGGCTTAGGGCAATGTGCAGCATTCCCAGAAAATGTGTTAGAAAGCATTGCTTTCTGTCACATTTTGTTCACTAAATTAAGCACTGACCCACAAAACTTAGCTCCTCTCCCCCCAAAAATATAGGCTCGTCCGCAAAAGCTTTTGCTTAACTGTTCTGGTCAAAATGGTAAAATAAAAGATTACTTAATGAATTAAAGCATGGGAAGTAATTGACACAGTAGCAGACCACACCAAGAACTTTTAAGTGTTCCCATTTTCACTGTTTGAAGCTGATGTAAAATCTGAAGCATGAGACACAAACAAGGATTCTGATCATGTTTCGCAAGGCAGTAATATCAGCTCTCCCTAACAGGTATGCCATAGCTGCTTGCTTACTGGTGATTTCTCTAGATGGGGGAGAAGTGGTTATCGATTTTTTTTAATCTGGAATATCTGGTGTGACAGAGGGGGCCAATTTCTCTGCGAAAGAAACAAAGTCCAAATTGCAGGCATAAAAAGATGTTCAAAAAGAGTAAATTTGTAAAGAGTGTGAAATAACAATATTGTTACTGTTATTTTTTTAAAAATTAGAAATAAGTGTGTAGAATTATTCCTGGATTGCACAGAAACATAAGTTCCAAAAAGTGAAATTATGAGGGCTTTCCTTTCTTATCTGAGCAGTAAAAATAACCGAAAATAGTAGAAATGATGGGAAGAAAAAAAAGTCATTATAAAGTTTTACTACATAAGAGGAGCAATGATATTCTTATGGATAAAAAAAAAAAAAAATACACACATGGATAAAACAACTGCTTTGGTAACAACAAGGTTCCTAACTTGTAACACAGGTCCTCAGTCTTGAATATCCCCAATGCAGACTTTCGATTTTTCATTCAGCCTGAATCACTGACAAATCTATAAAATCCCATGAAAACATATAACTTGTTTTCCTAAAGCACATAATTTATGAATTAATTACTCTGAATTTTATAATTCTACATTTAAAAGAAATGGACAAGGCCACCCTGCTGGCGCAAGGGGTTGAGCGCAGCGCTGTGAAGCTGTCCACAGCCTCTGCAGCACGAGTTCGATCCCAGGCCAGGGAGTTACCCACATGGCCCAGCAGACCTTTCCTGACCCACAAGCTGCTCCCCTCAGCAGTGTGCTTTGTTCTATCTGCCTGTTCTGTTCCCAGTTCTGTTTCTGGTGAATCCTCTCACCTCCCACACCTCTGGCCTGTACCCTGGATCTTGTATGCATAAATAAATAAATCTTTAAAAAAAAATAAATGGATATTTGAATTTTAATGGCATTTGGAGCTGCCACTAAAAAGAAAAGTTTAGGGTCACCCAACTATAGAGATTCCAAAGGGAGTTTGTTTGCCTATTGTGTATAGCCCTTCTGATTCCTGCACAGAGGTAAGAAGGAATGCGAGAGGAAGAATGCAATATGAAGTACTTCCTCAAAACACTGCTTGATTCCCCCCTTTTGTACATGTGAAAAAACTTCAAGATTCATAAATATGACTTCTCGCCAATGGGAGTCAATATGCTCAGCAATTTATACTTCAACTTTTGTCCCTAAGCCTACCAGGTACCTTTATTTGACTGGTTTAATGAAGAAAACACAATGGGGCTTAAAGTGAAAAACAGTAAGTATCCTCTAAGTATTAACGCTAGCTATTAAGAGAAGTTATTACTAATAGCAACGATCAATTATTGAGTACTTACTAGGTGCCAAGCCTTGCCCCAAGTACCTTATTTCATTATTTCAACTAATTTATTTATTGTGTAAGGTACAAGTTGTATTATTTATAAGTTACAAACAAGGAAAATGAGGGAAGGCTCTGAGCCTATGAATTCTGTCTGGCTTCATATTGTAGCTGTCCCACTGACTAGTTGTGCAATCTAAAGAAAGTTACCTGACTTATCTGTACCTCAGTTTCCTAATCCATAAAACAGATAAAGTCAGGCTTCTTCTGAGGATAACTTGAAAAGATTCATGGAAATCACTAGGCACAAAGCTTAAAATAAACACCATTAATAAAGTATCTATGTCAAATGAGCAATTAAATCAAAGCCATTTTTATCTTCAGAATTTATTACCAAGGGTATGGGGACCAAGAGAATAACAGGCAATTTCTGGCATCTCCTCACTAATGCTCTTCTACTGCAGCCAACACAGTTTACCACACTCTCTTTACCCATAAGAAAGTCCTAACACCTTCTAGAACTGGCAGCTTCTGATATCCACAGTTGGTTGGGATTTCCTAATAATTCGAATAAGTCATCCACAAGAGTCAAAACTGCTAGCTTAGAAAGTGCAGTGCTTCGATACTTAAATTTGGGCAACATTTTAAATGTGCTTCTTATACAAAGGGCACTATCTAGAAGCAAAAGTATAACAGAAATACAATTACTTGATTTTACTACAAAGCCATAGTTTAGAACCCAACCTCTTATATAATACTCCTCCTTGATACCCAAAAAACTCCAAAAAGAAAATGACCAACATTATGTTCATTTAATAATTATTTTAATATAGTAGTACACATTATAGGCTACCAATCAGTCCTCTTGTCAGTGTGCTTTTGATGATGTCTAATAGCTATGAGCCTCTTCAGTATCTGTCTGCAGAGATCAATTATATATTTTACATAAGGTTTGAGTGATGAGGACTCAGATTATCAAACAGTTCCTGATTCCTTACCATATATTAGGCACTCTGGTAGGTACCAGAATGAACAAACAGTGTTTATCATGAAGATATAAGAAGAGTAGGAAGTAGGGGGTAAATTAAATTCATTAAAAAATGTTCCTATGGATAAAGCCATTACCACCAATTAGCTTGTATGTGGCTTAAGAAGTAGGCCATTAGAAGTGAAATGCTGCCAAATTCTGAGCATTTCATCCCTTTCAGGGATGTATTTAAAATATAGCCTTACTTCACTATCCAAATTTAGGGATGTTCCCAGTAGGTGCCAAGGGTAACAAGGTCTCTCTTTACAAAAAGGATTCTTTGCACAGCAGATTCACTTGCAAAATGCTTTGTTCAAAGAGCAAAAGCATCACTAAATGTAAAAAAAAAAAAAAAAAAAAAGAAAGCAAAGTTGATGTTTCCGGATTTTAAATCCAGTTATCAGGCTTAATGTAACATAGCTTTTGCCCAATTCATGAACTGTTTAATACAGCCAATGAGATCTTTAAAACAAATATAAAAGGTTGAAACGATCTAAAGCTTTACTAAGATGAAAGACCTCACAAAACCAGCTTTTTATTTGGGAAAAACACTGGTCCAATGCAGACTTATAATAAACTTGAAAACCAACAATGACCACGTATTATCTGTGCAAATTTGGAGTGGGTAACAGAGATGCTTCATTATCAACACCCAAAGAGTGCAAGCATTTGAGTAATAGAAATCTTAGATCCACTGAACTGGGAGTGTGTAGCCTCTGGTTTCTCCTCCTCAGACTGCCTGAGCCTTTGTTCTCATCCTCTCTCCCTCTCTGGTCACACGTTTTCCCCTTTTTTTCTTTATATAGATCTAGAGTTCTCTTCTGCATATGGGGTGCTGGCAAGTCTCTCCTTAACCATACTCCCTTTATGGAACTACGTTGGAGCCTGTTGTGAATACATCAATATTCCAACAGGGAGAGAACAGGCGGAAGGAGGAAATTGAATTCCTCTAGCTCAGTGGCTGAAACAGCTGTCAATTGACTGCAAAACAGGATAATAAAGATAGTTACAAAAGTGGAGACTTAAGAGACAGGAAATTTTTAAAGATTTAACCTGCATATATACTTATTCTATGAGCTGTATTACTTGCTAACTTTTGGGTTATTGTCCTAATCATATATGTGCAGCTATACACAAATTGTTGCAACACATTCATCAGTAATAGCAAAGTGTTTAAAAATAAAGAAAAATGTAAAAATATACACCAAAAGGTAATAAATTCTAACTTTAAATTGAATATTCCCAAAATGTCTCCAGGGATTTAATAAATGATCTCCAGTTTTAAATGATCTCTGACAAAAGTAATTTTATTTATTTATTTATTTATTGCCAACAAAACTGATTTTAAATCTTGATTTAAAACTTTTAGGTTAAGTTGTTTTAAAAAATAGAAAAGTTTAAATTATAGAAAATAAATAGAAACATTAGACCAACATTCAGCTATAAAAAGAGGGTGACTATAGAGCTAACACTCTAGTGCATTAAATACACCGATAAAAATAATTCCCAGTGTCACTTTTGTACTGATAACAGCTTTCACTGAAGTGACTGTAAGCATCAGTATTTTATGGACCCAGTAGTTAAGAGCATAGGTTCTAGAGTCAATCTGCCCAGGTTGAATCCCAGTTCTACTACTACTTACTTACTACTTTTGTAACTATAGGGAAATCACTTAGCCTCACTCTTCCTGTTTCCTCATCTATGAAATAAGTAAAACAGGAGTATCTACTTTATGAGGAATATTAAGAAAGTTAATAGTGCAAAAGTGCCCTGCGTGTATCAGCTATTATTATTAGCACTATGCCTGTCACATAAGCCCCAATTCTAATCTATCCATGTTATACTACCAAATCAATCTTGCAGAATAAATCATGGCTTTAATTATGTCAGTCCTTGCTCTAACACTTCTAGGGAGTCCCTCCTAACCAATAAAATCAATAAAAACTTCTCTCCTATCACTTCAGGTCCTCTGTAGCTGGTGCCAACAGCAGCCCCAGCACTTCTACAGCATTTCCTCCTGCAAGTACACCACAGCTCAGCCAAAATATTCAAACATATTCTCCCTCCCCTCGCCCAGAAACCAAGTCTGTTCACACAGGCCATTCCATTTGCAGTATTTTCCCTCTATTAGCTGAAATCCTACCATTCAATCAGGTCCCTCTGAAAATTTGATTCTTCAACAAAGTCTTTCTTGATCCATCACATGCAAACTCAACTCCATCCTTAAATCACAGGATTTCATGGATTGGAGTTAAGAGTATATATGAAAAAATCAATATGACAATGAGACTTATTTGCTTAAGTCTTCCAGGGATCAGCTGTTTGCCTTCCCAATATAAGTGTATCATTTGGAACTAGGAACACACAAACTGTAAGATGTGTGGAAGCCATGTTTCCACACTGGTTAGTAGCATGCTAAAGGGCTGAGCACTAGGACTACAGTGCAGGTGTGTTAGTACAAGGGAGAAGGAACAACACATTTTTTCCCTTTCCTTAACAAAGTACCAGCTCTATGCAAAGTCACAGATCCAACAAACCACCAGGACTTCTACAATCTTGTGTGCACCCTGATTCATAGCCCGTTTGGGTTTGTTCTTACTGCTTCTTGGAAGAACAGACTGTTCCACAAAGGCCTGTATTCCCCCTCCAGCTCCAAAATACTCTTATCAACATAAAATCTGCAGGACCCTGGAGACATTGATCCCCTTCTCCACTTTCTATGGCATCCTCCTCCACACCGACCTGCTCTAAACGAAGGAAAGTCAGGAGTTGAAAAGGCAAACTGAAACGAAATTGCTGTTGGTAAGGAATCTACCTTTGCTGTTTTCCAGAATATAAGGATTTTTCCAAATGGTTTCTGGGGGCAGTGGTAGCAGAGCAGCAATCACAAGTGGGTGGTTAGTGAGGTATTTCTTACATATCAGAATCAAATAGATAAACTGGACTTCATCAAAATTATTCAAGTTTTGTGCTCCAAAGTCCTTCAAAAAAGTGAAAAGCAACCTATAGAATGGAGGAAAAGAAATTGCAAATCATATCTGATAAAGGACATGAATATAAAGAACTCTTACTTTAAAAAAAGGTAAATAACCCAAATTTTAAAATGCAAAGGATCTCAATAGACATTTCTCCAAGGATGATAATACAAATGACCAAGAAGCAAATGCAAAGGTGCTCCCATCATTTGTTATTAGAGACACATAAATCAAAACATACTAACCAGGTGGCTATTAAGTAAAAACAAACAAAAACGGAAAATGACAAGTATTGGCAAGGGTGTACAGAAATTGGGATTCTTATTCATTGCCGGTGGGAATATAAAATTGGTGTGACCTCTGTGGAAAACAGTTTGGCAGTTCCTTCAAAGGTTTAACACATAATTATAGTATGATCCAGTAATTTCACTTCTAGGTAGGTATTCTAAAGTTTTGAAGGCAGGAACTCAAACAGATGCTTACACACCAACGTTCACAACAACATTATTTTTAATAGCCAGGTGGAAGCAACCTAAGTGTCCATCAACTGGCAAATGGGTAAATAAAATGTGGTCTCTCTATACAGTGGACTGTTATTCAGTCATTAAAAGGAGTAGAGTACTGATATATAGATATAAATATATAAACATGCTACATGAATGTACCTCAGAAACATGCTAAGTAAAAGAAGCCAGACACAAAATGCCACGTATTACAAGATACAATTTTACGTGAAATGTCCATATAGACACATTTATAGAGACAAAAAATTGATGAGGGTCTTCTAGGGACTGGGGAGAGGGAAGTATATGGAGTGATTGTTTCATGGAAATGGGGTCTCCTTTAGGAGTGATGAAAATGTTTGGCACCTAAATAAAGGTGATGATTATACAACAAAACTACCAAATTATACACTTTAAATGGATAAAATTACAGTGTTTGCATTATATCTCAATAAAGTTATTGTTTTTAAATAAAAACAGCTAACATTAAATGTTGGACAATTTTCATACAAAATTCTTAGCTTCTCTTGAAAAATCCTTGTGATCTTATACCAGCTGTCCACAGGGTTCCTCATGACAAACTTCAGTTGGAGTTAAAGCTGGCCATGAACCACCTAATTCTGAACTTTAATGGGAAACTTTCTGTCTCTGCTTTAGTTTCTCTGTAAAAGAAGGATCCTAACAGTCTCTGGCTCATTGGGTTTTTATGAGGAGCCAATGAACTGTTAGGAGGGTCAATGAAATAATATGCTAAGAACAGCATGTGGCAATAGTAAGCGTTCATTAAGTAGTAGTTACTTTTATATTTCATGATACCTAATCCAATTTGTAATAGAAATAAATGGCATTAGCATTTCAACTTTTCTATTTTCACAAATGAAAATACCGCATATAATGTAGCAGTCTAAAAGAAAGAAGTAAAAAGACAGTCATGACATAAATTTTTAAAAGCAATATGCCAAATACTATGCATAACATGTGCCTATTTTTGTGCAAAGTAATAATGATGATGAGAGTCTGTGCATGTGCATAGGAAATGGTCTAGATAATTCTGCATTCACGGGGAGCAGTGAGTGAAAGACTGTAATTAAAGGGGCTTTTTACTGACATACATATTTATATAATGTTTAAATTTTTTCCAGCTTTACTGAGATATAATTGACATATAACATTGTATCAGTTTAAAATGTAGAACATGATTAGATACATACATATATTGTGAAATGATCACCACACTAAGGTAGGCTGACACATCCATCACCTCACATAGTTAACTAAATATTTTTAGGCAACAAACCTTATAAACAGGAATTAATAGTAAGTATTTTTTTTTAAGGAGAAGAAACTCAATACATTTTGTTTGACATCTTCTTGAGAATATAACAAAGTTTTGTCAGGCGAGTAGCAATTTTCCAAACTGATAAAATCAGAGGCCATTTGGTTGCTTTGAAACTCAGCTTTAAGCGGGAATTCCCAAAGCACCACACTTCTTCACTTCAGTGTCCTTCATCATGCAGTATGACGTGCTATATTTTTTATCTACTAACAGAATAGATTCTAAACTCCTAGGCATGGCAGTTAAGACCTTTCACTGTCTGGTCAAATAATTCTTTTCCTAGCTTTATCACCCATCACTACTTCTTATAAAACAGCACTCTACCTAAGTAACCCATGAAATACATATTCTCCAAATAATATTTCATTCTAGTTATTTAAATTGAGCTAAAATTCACATAACATAAAATTATCACTTTAAAATGTACAATTTAGTGGCAGTTAGTCCATTTACATTGTGATGTCACCATCGCCACTATTTGGCTCCAGTATATTTCCATCACCCCAAAAGAAACCCAGTATCTACTTAGTCATCTCCCATCCCTCCCCCCAGCTCTTTCTGACTCTACAAAATTGTCTCGTTTGGCTAATTTATATAATTGATAAGATACAATGTGTGGCTTTTCCTATATGGCTTCTTTAAGAGATTCATCAATGTTGGAGCATGTCAGTAATTTATTCCTCTTTATGGATGAATAATTGTGTGGCTACACCACAGTTTAGTATAGTTTATGGACATCTGGGTTGCTGCCACCTTTTGGCCATTGTGAACTATTACACGTCATTATCTTTTTTTTTTCCCCCAAAGATTTATTTATTTATTGATACAAGCACAGGCCAGATGCATGGGAGGGTGAGAGGATTCACCAGAGACAGAGTGGGGAATAGAACAGGCAGAGTGATGAAATACACTGCTGAGGGGAGCAGGGGGTGCAACAGGAGAGGTCTGCCACGCCATGTGGGATTCTCGCCGGCCGGCTGGGATCAAATCCATGCTGCAGAGGCTGCGGACAGCTTCACATCTCTGTGCTCACCCACCTGCACCACCAGGGAAGGCCCACGCCATCATTATCTTTTATCTTTCTTCAGCATCATGTACTAGTTGAAGTCCAGCCTTCATTTGAGTTTCAGATCATTTCTTACCTCCGCAAGTTGGCCTGCCCAAAGTCCTTACTTTCCTTTTGAGTTCCTTCACTACTTCTATATTCGAGGTAACTGCCAGCACAAGGCAGAATCCCAACCTAATCCCTGTTTAAGTTGACTCAAAGTGTTTTTGTAAATTAGTTGCTAACATTAAAAAACTCCAGAAAAATTAAAGATTTCATTTCCGTTAAAAATTTGGGTATCTGTCAACATCATCATCTCATGCTGCATTATTACAACAGCACAGTTTAACTAAGCTCACTGTTTCACTCTTGCTCCCTACCAACTATCTCAATATAGTGGTGACAATAGTTTTACTTAAAAAGAAGTCAGGGGTGGAGGGGCTCCCTGGGACACAACCTATGAGGCACACAACCTATGAGGCTGTCTGCAGCCTTTGCAGCACGAGTTCGATCCTTGGCCGATCAGGGAGCAACCCACACAGCGCAGCAGACCTCTCCTGTCTCGCCCTCTGCTCCCCTCAGCAGTGTATTTCCTCAGTCTGCCTGTTCTATTTCCCCCTCTGTCTCTGGTGAATCCTCTCACCCCCCCCCCCCCCCTCTGGCCTGTACCCTACCTCTTGTCTGCATAAATAGTGAATCTTTAAAAAAAAATTCAGGGGTCTCCCTGGTGGTGCAAGGGGTTAAGATGCAGCACTATGAAGCTATCCACAGCCACTGCAGCACAAGTTCGATTCCCAGGCTGGCCAAGGAAGTGACCCACCTGGCGCAGCAGACCTCTCTGTCTTGCCTGCTGTGTCTCGCCTGCTGCTCCCCCTCTCAGCAGTGTATTTCAGTACATCTGCCTGTTCTGCTCCCCGCTCTGTTTCTGGTGAGTCCTCTCACCCCCCGCATCTCTGGCCTGCACCCCAGCTCTACACTGCACTACAACCTTAAAAAAAATAGACCAAGTCACCCCTCTACTCAGAAACTTCCAGTGGCCTCTTACTTCTTTCAGAGTGAAAGCCAAGGCCTGCTGGATGTCCTATGAGGCTATACACGCTAGCCCACCACTCTCCTGCTTGCTCACTCAGCTCTGGACTCCTCCTTTCTGATGTTTGGACAACCACTTAGGGTCCTGGGTTCACTCCATCCCCTGATGAGATGGAGCTCAGTGTTCCACTCTTTCACTCTTAATACTCAGATCTTACTTCTCAAAAAGTCCCATCCTGACCACCTTATTTAAAAATAGAACCCCACTCATTAATCAGCACTTCTGATTCTCCTTATCCTGTTCTTTCTACCCACTAACATCATCTAATATAATGTATAATAATGTATTTATTTACTACACTTACTGCTATCTGTTCCTTTCCATTAAAAGGTTAGGTTTTACATTGGCAGGTCTTTTGTTCCTTTGATTTACTAGTTAATCTCCAGTATCCAGAAGAGAGCCTAGCATGTAGGTGGGCATACAATAAACATATATTGCATTGATACTGGGTCTACAATCAGCTAGCAGTGGCAAGGGATTGCCCTTCTAGCTTGGTCACATATTTCCCAGTTTCTCAAAGTTCCACCATTTCTACTTCATTCTCCTACCTGTCTGGTCTCTGTAGACTTCAGTTTGTGACACTTCTTCCTCTACCTCTTGTCACTGACTTCCAGAATAGCATTCTGACTTTCAAAATATTTTTCACCAGAATAGCATTCAAATGCGCGTAAGTCGTAAGTGCAGTATTTGAAAATTACCTATTCTTCTCTTTTCCTCCCCAAGGATAATCCCAGTGCACACAGCAGACGTTCAATAATGTTATGGACTAGAGAACGCCTCTGACATTTCTGTCAAACATGTTTCTGCTCTACCTTCCCCCCAGGTCCCGCCACTGTGTATTAATGTGAATCCACCATCTAGGAAAGCCCTGTTTCTCTCTTCTCTGGCACTTTCCAGACATTTCACTATGAACGGTTTTGATGATCACTGCAAGAAACCTCTGCAATGCTGACCTTTTGGCTTTAGGTCAGCAAATATAAGGCCCTATTTTAAAGGTAGAGATTTTATAGTTGCCCAGTCCCGTCTCCAAACACCTAACCAGAATAGCCACATCTGTCCTGAAGCTCCCATTTCCCTTTGTTAACAGTCAAAATGTTATCTTCACAGACTGCTACCTGTCTCAGGTATCGTGTTTGTTGCTACAGTACGATGACCAATTTCAGAGGCTGATATTCCTTTACTCTTTCTTGTTTGCATTCTGTTTAGTTTTAGCCTTCAATGACCTATCTTAAACAGTAACTTAATTTTAAGCTCCCTCACTGCTTTCAGAAGTAGCTGGAAGGATGGATCTTTTTTTCTTTCAAATCAACATTCCTCAATTTTCCTCTTTTGCAAATTAGGTGAAACTTAACCACCCCCCTCCTCGAATAGTAAATGCACAATGGTGAACACGTAGTGAGAAATTCAACTAATGGTGGCTGCTATTTCTGTAACAATCTGAGACTGCTCATGAGCACAGAGAGCTCTGGCAGGCTGCGCAGAGGCACTGTGCCCTCAGAATGTGCCTGAAGAACTCCTGCCTGATTTACAATTTGCTTTAGGAACTTCCCTGCCCTGAGCAACTGGGTCTACATTGCTTATATGAAGAAGAAAACAGGTGCTGGGGAAAGCAGAACAGGAAAGAAACACAAGAGAACATCTTTGGAAAACTTCCTAGGAAAAGGTGGATATGGATCGGGGCTGTGGGGTGTTTCTATCTCCTAAGTCTTCCTGTAGCTTTAATAAATTTGGGGTGGGAAGCAGTGGTTAGTTAGCAGTTTTTGTTTTGATAAAAAACTAATAATATTGTACTCTTAAATTTACTGTCATTTTATATTAGTAAGATCATATTTAAGGTTATATGTAAAATTTGAGCTCTTACTCTGATACCTTAAATTTTAAAACTATCATCCTTTGATAAAACTCAAATTCTAATATAATCAGAAGGACTGCATTTATTCAGCATTTAGGAACAACCAGTTACCTTTTCTTTGGAGGGTAAGCCAAAAATCTTGATTGTTTTACCAGTGAATCTTCATCTGCTGTGATTATGGAATCTCTTCTTAATTTTGTTCAGATCTACAAAAGGAAAAAGGGCAAAGGTTTCTGAAACAATGGATAAAGCTAAAAGAAAACTTACAATCTTACTATTTGCCATATGTTCCAAAATTATTATATGTGCTTTGAAATGTCAAAGTGTTGAAATCTGCGATACTTTTATCAATTTTACCATAAATGCAACTCTGTTTTTTTGAAATGTACTTAATTGGCTATATTTTCAATAAACTAAGAACAAATGACTGTTCAATATGTACAAAGTGTCAGTCTCCTAGGGCTTAAGATCACTGTGTGTAATTTGCCTCTAATGAGTTTTCACTTAATTTTTTAAATTGCCATTCAAAAAGCCTACCCCTATGAAACCTGTCAGAACCACAGAATTGAACATACACACAACACACATACACACACACAGAGAATGAATTATTTGGAGAGCTTACTCTATCCTTTATCATTTAGCAGTTTAAAAAAGCAATTCACACAACAACTACAAACAAAAGACAAAAAACTCCATTAAACCATTTTCCTAAAAGTGAAGGAAATTATGCCTCCCATTTCATAGTTTTGTACATATGCATTTGTACATATATATTTCAAATAGAATGCGGCTACCATTTGAATTAATTTGGGGAGAAGCAGTCAATGGGTTAAGTAGTCAAGGGCCCAGAGATTAACAAACCAGAGTTAGAAATTGAGCTGATTTTTAAGACTGACATTGCAGCAAAAGAAAAAAAACAGCAAGTATGGACAATGACATAGCTATGGAACACATTCTATCCATATATATAGCACAAGAGAGGTTGATTTTATATGAAAAATTCACTAATAACACATGTCTCTGCATATATAATCCTCAGCAAGGCCAGGAAGTGGTAGTATTACTTTGCTCAACTTTCTTTATTTTCATATACTCTAAGATGGTAAGCCAAATATTTCTATGGTTCAAGATACTAAAAAGTAACTCTGAAAGTGAGTGGTTGAAATTCATCCTAGGTTTTGAACATTAATTCACAATGATTTTTACTGGCTTTTAAATTATTTCTGAATTCTATCTTTACCCTCCCCCTTTTTAGTTCTATTTTTATTTACACGCACAATGTTATTCAGTAATGTAATCATTCTATAAAGTAATCATTCCTACAATCTTTAAAAGCCAGATGTTTCTTGTGCAGATTTCTAACTCCTTCCCAGTGCCCTATCTTTTAAATATTTCTCTCTCATTTCCATTTAGTGTTCCCACTCTGCCTTGTTTCCAATAAAAGCTATTATCTTGCTTACCATGTCTGTCCTAAGACAAAATTAATTTCTTTGTATTCTAAACATTTTACAACTATGCACAATCACTCAAAGGAACCAACAAATTATTAGGATAGAGATAGCCAATAAAGATGTTCTCTTAGAGATAAGATAATCATTCCCGTCACTGGTGGGGATTCCTTCACAGCAGACTGGAGGTGGAGGCAAAACAACACCAGCATCAGATTAGAGTCAATGCTTGATCTTATTGTATTTCACTAGGTCAAGCTATTTTTCAGTTTTTCCATCAGGATGCTCCAGCTCTATCTCCATAGTATCCAAGGAAGTCATCAGATTTTAGGTACCATAAAATCTTAGGGGAGACCCTAAGACAGTGTTTCCCTTTAAAAGAATTCTTCATTAACTACTCCACGTGCTTTTTAAGGGAAACCCCATTCCTATAGAAAAATGGTAGTGGTAGTTACTAAAAATAAGTATTTAAAGATAGTAACTTCTCTGCTTAGATAAGGGGTCAGAAATCTCTTAAGTGGGAAAAAAACGATCATGTTTGTAGAAAGTCTCTCATTTTGATCTTCACAATAGCACTTCTGGCTTCAAAGGCGCTTTATTACGAGTGAGAAAACAGACTGAGAGAGGTCGTAATTTGCTAAAGATAACCCAGCAAAAAATGGCTTGAAATTGGAACTGAATAGAAAGGCCTTTGGTGTTCCTTAGTTCCCTTTCTAGTTACACCAAACTGTCTAAACAGCAACTTAATTTTATTTTGCAAGAAGAAAATCATTCAAAGGCTAGACAGGAGAATATTTTCTAAGAATAGAAACATAAAACTTGATAGCTTTTATTCATTTCCCACCTACTATATAATAAGCATTCAAAAAATATGATTTTTTAAGATTTCTTTTAAATGACAGCCAGCTGAAGATGAGAGGGGAAAAGGAAACAACAAGAAGAGACGTTATTTGAAAATTCTTCAAAGTCCCAAAAGCATAAATTTAATTTACTTACTCTTTTTTGGTGGGGTGGCAGTGGGGGAGGGGGAGGGGAAATTGTTGAAGATACCTTTCTTTTTGGAGCTACAAAGCCCATTTCTTATAAGTGCTCATAAGCACTATGTAATTCTCAACCCCATGCCAGGTCATATTTGTACTAAGGGACTCCAAACTCCTCTCCTGTTTTGACTAAAGCTGAATATATGACCAAAACTAAGATATTTGGTTTGTTCTCCTTGGAAATAGAAACTGGGATGGAAGGGTCTACTTTGGTCTAGGCTGCAAGCTGCCCCCAAGTGCTCTCAGGCTAGGAACAAAACAGTCAACAAGGACAGAACAAACTGTTCTGCTCAGAATTAATTTGACCCAAGAGGCCAGGTAGCCCCAAAGGAGAGGGAAAGGAAACAGTTTCTTCCTGGGGGTTCTAGGGCTTTTCTTGCCCAGGTATATCCCAAAGAGGCCCAAAGTTCTTCCTTCCCTACAGTATTAAGACTAGCTGGAGCTATAGGATAAAGGTTAAAGGTTCCCCCTTTTCTGAGCTTAAAGTTTCTTGAATTGATTTCTGATACCTACAACAAAAATAATCTTATTCAAGACAGTAAAAACATTGGTATTTTAAAAGGAGGCATATATTACCAAAATTTGTTAGAATACAAAACCCTGCAGAATGCCCAGGGGTTCAGAAACACCCACTCACTAACCTTAAACAAAGAGAAGTGCACACTGTTACATGGGGAAAACTAGCTGATGCTGTGCCATAGCTGTCTCTTGTCATTGGACACATACTTTCAAAGCACCCACCGGCTGGCTGCGTCACTTATTTCCTCGTAGGTCTATCTCCTGTAGAAGCCATGCTTGGGACCCCAAGCCTGTGTTGTTTTCCTATGTCTCTTCTCTTAAATGAAAAAAAAAAAAAAAAAAAAAACTAAAAATCGAAAAATCTAAAAGCATAAGTCACATGTAGGCATATACTCCAGAAATAATATGTGGTCCCCACTTTACACTTCTGCTTGACTTCCACCTTGCTTTCACCCTGACAGGCTTTCTCCCTGGCAAAGTAAATTTAAGAATGAAACTCTATACTTGACACAACCTGTCTTTCTAACTGTGCTGCTGGGTATCCCCTCGTCAAAGGTCAACTGGAGTTTTTGCACCTACGGAGCTGTGGGACTGCTCTCAGTTCAGGATCACTCCATTGACCACCAAATGAGAGTCTGAAAATGTAACCAGCAAGGAGGGAGATGAGATCACTTATCAGGAAAGGCTCCAACAACTCTGGTCTATGCTTTAGGGATACATTTTCATCCTTGTAGTCGGACTAGGGTTTCCCAACTTTCCATGGAATTCATCACATGAAGTCTTAACATTCTTTAAAAAGCTTCCATTTCTGACAGCTTCTACATATTTGTACACATTCAGGTCTTCTCTCTCCAAAGCCATCCTTCACTCCTTTTGACATTTCAAAATGGTGGTATGGCTCTCCCCCCTCAAGCTGTTTCTCCCAGATTTCACTAAGGTTCACTGGCCTCCCTTTCTTTTTAGCTGAGGGACCTTTGTGACTACTGTATACTGTTTCACATTAGATTAAGAAAGAAACAAAATATAGTAAAATTCCCGGTAGTTTCTCCAATTTGACTCTGTCAAGTCAATAGACTTCTTGCGATTGATTTACAAAAGCACAAGATAAAAACAGTAATAGTGGTAGCAGCTGACAATTACTAAGCACTTACTATGTGGCCAGTATTGATTAACACATGAGCTCTTTCCATGCATTACCTCACTTAATTCTCCCAGATCTGTGATGCAGCAACTTTTACTATATTCATTTCATTCAGTGAAACTGAGGGTTTCTCAGTTTTCTGCAAGTAAGGGGTAGAACTGACTGGTCACACCACAGCAATCCCTATTGCTGTTCTCCCACACCCACTGTTCCTCCTTTCTTTCTACCTTCTAATTGACATTCAGCCTTCAAAACCGGTCCAACATTGTAAGTATGAATAAATGTCTGCTAAATACAACTGGATTAAATAGAACCACAGATTTGACATCTATCCACTCACTCAGAGTTAATGTGTGGCTGGTGTAGGATGTCCTTGCCTTACTAAGGAATTACAATTAGGCCTAAACATTTAGTAGCTATTCCAGCATTTACTCTTACTCATCCCTGTCAAACTCACCTACTGACCCCAACACTGACCCCAACACCTACTGACCCCAACACCCCAACTTCCCAAAGGGGAAGGAGGACAGATGGAGAGCACTCCTATACTCCTCTTAGTGTGGAAATAGCACGTCAAAATAGAGTTGAGTGGGAGGAGGGAAGCCTGGGGAAAAATGGAATGTTTCTCCCCTAATATTCTACCATGGGAACAATGATCTATATTACTGGCCTGGGTTTATAGAATTCTAAAATTCATATAAATACGCAAAATCAAATCATTCTTTGCTAATCTAATGGTCCTTTAGAAAAGATGTTCAATAAATGAATAGCTAGAAAGTTAGATCTGAATCATAATTACTAACACTACCAATAAAAAAAAAGAAACTTTTGCTGCTCACTCTGGGCCATATCCCATGCTAAGTACTTATATGTAGTGTCCTGTTTCATCTTCTCCACAAACCTATGAAAAATATTTAAAAGTGTGCAAAGTAGGCCAAAAGTATGGCATGCCCAGGGGCACTACTAAATAAATCATTCACAGTAAAGGCAGCAACCAGTGAATAATTGTATAATTTTGATAAGTGCTTTTAGGTTTTTTTTCCTCCCCTTTACTCTTCCTCTTCAAATAATGCCACCTGAAGACAGACTAGGCAGCCTACTATAATTTTCACTTTCTTCTCTAAAAGATCCAGGGAAAAATCTCCTCTCTTCTATTAAGCCTTTCAAGATATTATTTGTGATGGACACTATTATTTGTGATAGGCTATAGCTTACCTGTTCTTCCTGAGCACAGAATTAGGCTAAATTTCCCAATGTTCATTACAGGAAGGTGTAGCTACATGATTGAATCCTAAAATATGAGCAGCTATATTGATTGCCATGTGTAGGCTTAATCCATACAAACCTCCTTGACTTGATTCTCAGTCTCTCATATTGGCCAAATGGAAAGGGCTCCAAGCACCTAGAGGTTGGTGAGAGCTAGGAAATGTCATCCCTTGAACGACTAGGTGAAGCAAGAGACTGCTTGCCAACCGATATTGAGTTGTGCCTTGAGTGAGAAGTAAATACATACTGTGCTAAGCTATTGGGTATTTGGGTAAGCTACAGCAGCTAGCCTACCCTAATATAGTATTATTGTTGTCACTATCATCACAATTTTCATCAACAGTTCAGCCATAATTTATTGACGGTGTAATAAGTAAAAGAAAATACTTCTTTTACTCATTTATCTGCATTTCACAGGTGACAAAAACCAAAGACCCGAGATAAATAATATTTCTCTGAAGGGACTCCCTGGTGGCGCCAGTGGTTAAGACACAACCTATGAAGCTGTCTGCAGCCACTACAGCAGGAGTTTGATCCCTGGCCAGGGAGCTACCCACATAACTCAGCAGACCTCTCCTGTCTTGCCCACTGCTCCCCTCAGCAGTGTATTTCATCAATCTGCCTGTTCTGCTCCCCACTCTGTCTCTGGTGAATCGTCTCACCCCCCACATCTCTGGCCTGTACCCCGGTTCTTGTATAAATAAATAAATATTAAAAAAAAAAAATATTCCTCTGAACATCTATAGCATTCACAATCTGAAAGACTTGATAATTAATTATGGATTGCCTTACTATACAAACTGCATTGATAGGTTGATAGGTTAAACAGTTTTCACTCCTGTAGTTAGCTGATTTTTTTAGAATTTTAATTTGTTTTCCTTATCTGAACAGAAAGTTGCTAAGACAAGGGGGTAAGTCTCAAAACCCTCTAGTCCATATCACTTCACACATTGTCTCACAACTATACAAGTTTGTATATTATTTAAATCATCATATAAATTTACTGTATATGTATATAAAATATATATATTGTGTTTTGGGCAACAGCCCTCAAGTACACCTGACCAAGAAAATTGACTTATTTGCTCTGAAGAGCTACTTAATCTAATGTTTGTTTATTTCAGATGTATCACTTCATGTGTATCAGGAAAGTAATTTTTCAATATTGTAATTACATGTATAAATGTACATGAACACTTTAGTACAGTGCTTGCCATATATTTGCTGATCAATAAATGATTATTTTCCTTCTTCCCCATCCCAATAATAACTTTAAGTAAATCATATGGTGCTTGAAGATCATCAAAGATGATCAGAAGAAAAATGGTAGGCCAGTAAGTAGAAGCTGATTTTAATTACAAAGAATATTTTCGTATCTGGGAGGAAGACCATCTAAAATGTTAGGGGTCAGAGACCAATAAAGATCAATTGTCAGTTATAAGATTAAGTCATTCATAAAAACCTGTCCTGACATAACCTTCGGGAACAGGAATTCTGGGCAAGTCAGAGCCAGGGCTTCATACCCTTCAGCTTCACTGCTGGTGAGCTGCGGCAGTGTGCCTTGGGGCTCGCCTTCTATTGGCTCAGGTCTGGCCACACAGGATTCCCAAGAGCCTTGGTATCATTACTTGCAGTCACACATTAATGTGTGCTCCTATAGCAACTGTAATAACTTTTATATTTTCTTAGAGAACTACTTTTCTTCAGATGCTGCTTGTTCCCAGTCCACATTTTCCTACCCAAGACATTCAAAGACTCCTACTAACATGACGCAGATACTGGCTTTCATATGGTGACAATTCACACTAATCACATACAATCATTCTGTTACATGATCTTTACATTAGCTAACTAGTTTAAATATTTTAATTGTGGATCATTTAAATTTTGTTTTAAAAAATATGCTTTGAAGATTTCTTTTAAAGATGAAATGGAACACGAATCTGGGTCAGTTATCTTATCTGGCATCATTAAAGTATAAATTTGGACATCTTAATCCTGCTCAGTATGTCAATTATAATATCTACTTTGTTGATGGGGTGGGCTTTCCCTGGCGTAACTTTCCCTGTAACTTCAAGGTATCGTCCTTAACAGTAGGTAATGAACTTAATGTTATCATCAGCTAGTATGCTGGGTACATAGGACTGCAGCTGCTGTTGAAATATAGCAACACAGAGTATAGAACACTCAAGATTAAAAAAATATATATGTGTGTTTGAAAATTAGTGAATCAAACTCTGGTTAACAACTTGTTTTAAAAACAAATATTCTTTTAAAATGTTAAACAAATATTCTTTTGAAAATAAAATTCTTTTGAAACTGCTGAGTGAAAAAAGTCCATCTCAAAAGATCACACATACCTGTAACATTCCCAAAATGACGAAACTGCAGTTTGAAAATAGTGGTTGTCAGGAATTAGGATGTCAGGATAAAGGAACAGCAAAGGGAAGATTTTTGCAGTGTGTCTTGATTACGGCAATGATTACATGAATCTACACATAAGATAAAATGACATAGAACACATACACACACTTTATAACAATCCAATTTTCTGGTTTTGATGTACTATTGTTAGGTAAGATGTAGGCCAATGGAAGAAACTGAGTGAAGTGTAATCAGGACCTCTCCATAGTACCTTCACAACTTCCTGTGAATCTGTAGGTATTTCAAAATACAAAGTTAAAAAATAGCTAAAGCACGTTGGATTATAAATATATTTCACAGGGTATTTTTTTCAACCTACTTGTTGAAAGATTAAATTCTAGCCAAGGCTATGCAAATATATTTTATCATCTAGCTTCCCATTTTGTATACAAATGAGCCTATGGATTATCTTAATAGAAGCTGAGAGAGAGTGGAAATGGAGCTTTTAGAGATGGTTTTGCTGTCGGAATGCTCATTGTTCAAGACAAAGTCAGTAACATGAACCACTTTAGCAGTCAATAGTTGGATGTCTTACAAAGACAAGATGGCACATGATATATAAAAAATAACATGCATTTAAAGACTTCTTATATCTTAAAATCTATAAGATTTTGCTTTAAATACAGGCAATTTAAAGATAAAAACATTTTTGTGATTCTAATGCTCAAGATTCAACTGAACATATGATTATATGTAACTTATGAAATTCATTACTAGGCTTATGTGATTATCCAACAAGAGATTTTTAAAAATTAATACACAGCAATAGCTCAAACTATCTGGCTAAGTTATATTAACTACTGCCACACACCAATGATGAATGGGACAGAAAGAGGGGACCTCCCTGGTGGCCTAGGGGTTAAGTCTCAGCGCTATCACCACTATGGCCTGAGTTTGATCACTGGCCAGGAAAATAACCCACATATGGCACAGCAGTCCTTTCCTGTCTCACCTGCAGTTCCCCTTAGCAGTGTATTTCAGTAAAATCCACCTATTCTGCTCCCCATTCTGTCTCTGGTGAATATTCTGACCTCCCGCACCTCTGGCCTACACCCCATTTCCTCTACTAAATAAATAAATGTTTAAAAAACAGCCTTGTTATAAATAAATAAATGAGGGAATTCCAGAAGCTGGGAAGTAAATGCAAATCAAACAAAACCAGTATAAATAATTTTCACTAGGTTTTCAGACTGAGATCTTTTCTATCATTGATTAAAATGTAATATCCTGGGACTACATCAAAAACATGACTCCCTGATTTGCTGTATCTCACACTTAAGCTGGTTCAACACTGGCTCATCATGACTCGGAATCTAAAGAGAGGTTGGCAGCACTTCATAAATACCTTCCTGTTCGCTCCTTTCTAAGGTGATGCAATTTGACCTACATTTCCAGTGCCCATTGAAACTTCGTAGGAGGGGGTTAAGAGGAGAGTTTTTCATTTCTCCTACCCTCTGATTAACTAGGACAGCAAATGCCACTCAAGGGATTGCTACTGGGCAGAAGCAAAGAAGGGAAAAGCCATGCCAGTGAGGAAATTCCACAGGAGAACATTTTAGAAATACTGCATTTTCTGATTTTGCAAACAGTCATGGCTTTCTAAGTCAACAACAGGGAAAGAGTCAGACCACTTTACACAATAAAACAGAACACCAAGAACCGTTTTATTTACTTCAGGTTCCCATCTCAATAAAAATTAAACTTGAACTATAGATTCCTGCCCTTACCAGTCTTTTTTTTTTTAAACAAACTTTAAATTTTAGAATGAGTTTAAGTTGACAGAGAAGCTGTGAAGACTATAGAGTTCCCACATATTTTACCCTCAGTTTCCCCTGCCCATGAACTTCTTTACATTAGTATGCTGTATTTGTCACAACAAATGAACTAATATACTGGTATCTATCACAACAAATGAACTAATATACAGTATATTAGTATATTAAAATGTGAAGTCCACATTTTACTCAGATTTCCCTAGTTTTTGCCCTATGTCTTTTTTCTGATCCAGGACCCCATCCAGGATATCCCATTGTGTTTGGATCTCATGTCTTCTTAATCTTTTACACCGTGAAAGTTTCCCAAGACTCCTTTTTTGGTGACCTTGACAACAGTTTGAGTATACTATAAAAGCCTTCGCTGTTGGTCATTTGTGTATTTCTTGTGATTACAATGGGATTATGAAACTTGGGGATGGAGACCACTGAAGTGAAGAGCCACTCTTATCTTATCAAGGGTAGATTTATCACTGTGTTAACTTGAGCATCTGGCTGAAGTTGTGTTTGTCAGGTTTCTCCACCAGAGTTACTATTTTTTTATCCTTTCTATGCTGTACTCTTTGGAAGTCACTATGCACAGCCTACATTTATGGTAGCGGTAGTTATTTTGCCTTCTTTCAGGAGATTATTGACATAAATCATTTGGAATTCCACTTGGCAGATTGGTCTATTCTTTCCCATTTGCTTACCTATTCAACCATACGGGTATAGACTTATGGATATTTGTTTTACATTATTATATTTACATTATATATTTTTATAAATATCTAATTATATTAGTATTTATCTTACCCTGTGTACATTGTATATTTATATTTATTTCATATCTTGAGTTTAATCTAATACTATATTATTAAGTTGCTGAAATTGTCCTGCATTGACCATTGGGAGCTATTTTAGCTGTGTCTCTGTGACAATCCCTATCACTATAGTGTGTGCGTGAAGCACTTTTTTGCATCCTTGCCCCAGCCATAGAATTAAGTTATGTCTGGTTACTTTTATTAGGGAATACATTGGTATTAGAAACCAAGATCTGAGCACTTGGTCTAATACTGTTTTAATGTTTGATACTAAAAAAAAAAAAAAAAAAAAAAAAGGGACATAACTACTGGTGCCGAGACCCCACAGCCCTCGTGAGCCAAAAAACTGGCAGTAGCCTAACCCTATAAAGACCAGCACTCCCATTTGGGGGCGAGACTCTTATCACTATACAGATTTTCAATAAAGCCGCTTCGGTCTGATACTCTTGGCCTCCTTTCTTTTCTAACAACTACTTCTATAGTAAATCAATATAATCTTCTCTTTCATTATCTTCACTCTGTGGCATGGTAACTATAACATGCTAAATCATGAAGAGAATGCTACGGTAATCTAACTATCATCTAAATGCCCATCTTTCAGGTTTGATATGGCCACTAAATATCTTTTTTTTTAGATTTATTTATTTATTCATTTATACAAGCACTGGTACAGTGAGAAGCGCGGGTGGGTGAGAGAATTCACCAGAGCCAGAGTGGGCAGCAGAGCAGGCAGAAGGACCGAAGCACACTGCTGAGGGGAGCAGCGGGCGGCAGGAGAGGTCTGCACGCCATGTGGGACCCTCCTCTGGTGGCCAGGGAGCAGCCGGGGATCGAACTGGCGCTGCAGAGGCTGCGGGCAGCTTCGCAACCAAGCGCTCAACAGCTGCACCACTGGAGAGGCCACCACTAAATATCTTATCATAATGAAGTTCTTCCAGAAAAAAGAGAATGAAGTTTGTTTGTTTGTTTTTTTCTGTTGTTGGAAGAGGGAGAGGAATTAAATGCAACATGCTTGCAATAAGGGCTCCTTTCTCTGCCCTTTCCCCTCATCCCCTGACACCATTAAGTTACTCCCTTTATGTCAACTCTTAGTTACCTGAGCCAAAGGAAAACACAAATACCAATCAGATCTGGCTTTAAAATATATTAGGGCCTCCCTGGTGGCGCAGCGGTTGAGCACTGGGTTGCGAAGCTGCCCGTAGCCTCTGCAGTGCCGGTTTGATCCCCGGCTGCTCCCTGGCCACTGGAGGAGGGTCCCACATGGAGGGTCCCACATGGCGCACAGACCTCTCCTGCCGCCCGCTGCTCCCCTCAGCAGTGTACTTGGGTCCTTCTGCCTGCTCTGCTCCCCACTCTGGCTCTGGTGAATTCTCTCACCCTCCCACGCTTCTGACTGTACCCAGTGCTTGTATAAATAAATAAATAAATCTTTTTTTAAAATAAATAAATAAAATAAAATATATTAGTGATAGTTTATAGCAGCAACTACAGCTTCTTGTTTATGATTTGTCTATTTTAAGGTTACACAGTTTTCTTTGACACTAAACCAGCCCAACAAATAGAGCCAGGAGATCTCCTGAGCAGTGGAGTCACCTAGTGGGAAGCAAACAGATTTTTGTAGAAAACGCACTAACACAGACCAGAGTTACTATTCCCATGCAACACACACAGAAAAATTCTTCACCTCAGATTCCAACACTTGTTCCGTGCAAACAAGCTTTACTAATCTTTAGTGAATTCAGACTTTTTTTTCCATAGGAAAAAAACTGGGCCTGCACCTAATACTGCTTTTTTCTGTCATCTTTTTCCTTACTCAATCTGCTTTTTTCTGTCATCTTTTTCCTTACTCAATCTGATTACACTATATTCAATAAATACTTCTTGAGCTTTTAATATTCACTAGGTAGGACACTATGTCCGGTGCTTCCAATTAATACAATAGATCAGAAAATAAGAGCACTATTCCCATTTTTTCCCTCCCAGCAGAGTTGCTGTGGCTGATGGAAGGTAAGTCAAGCCTTTGCTATACTTAAGGCACAAAATGTTTTGGATAGGCACATAGTTTAATATCTAGTTCTACAGTTATTTGATAACATCTTAGAAAGAAAAGATTATAACTTCCTTATCTGTAAAACAGATATAATGGAACCTACTACTCAGAAAATGCAAAGACAGAGAATTCATGGAAAATCACGCACAATGGGTTCTATAAATATTCATTTCACCATAAACTTGTCTAGGAAACACTAGGACTGCCCACCAAGGTGTTAGTTACATAGCCTATTTTTTCCTGGCCAAGCTTACCATCTTCACAAACCTTAAAATCATGATCTTTTAAAATAAAAGCCAGTTCCCATGTCCCAACTACTTTTTGATAAATAAATAAGACATTCATTCAAGAGGGGAGAGAATGGAGAGGATATATTAACAAAAATAGGTAACATTACCTAAAAGCATATTTTGTGCCAGACACTGTGTGGACATTGCAAAACA